CCCTTTCCTTCCATCTCCACAAGTCATTAAGTTTTACCTCCCCTTTGTGTCCTACACCCACCTCAAACTCCAAGATTTTGCTAAGGTGTTACAAATCCCCTTATTCTATGTTCTTTAGGTTTTAAGAAACTTTATTTAATACTTAAATTGTTTATTACCCAGAAAAACTATACTTGCCCATTAAATGGACATGTATTAACCTCTCACCACCAGATGCTTTTCTCTATCTTCCCCAAAACCAAACCCTCAGATTCAGTTTATTCATTGGGTGATTAGAGTATTGTCTCAAGTGTTTTTGTCATGTGTGATTATTAGAACCCTGAGGTTACTGCATGGGTTTTCCTATCACTGAATATTTTTTGTTCACACTAGTTGAATGAGATCTGGATTGTTTGATATGGAGATAGAGACCCTCCCACCACCTTTTTTCCGTAAATTCTGACGCTATTCCACTGTTTTTAAACCATCAACTTTGGAAATGAGATTCCTGAGGACACGCTGACCTTCTGTACCACCCCAGGCTTATCAGAGCTAATTTTGGCTCTTAGTTCCAGAAAGTCCCCCCAAAAGAATGATGTAAACAAGTTAGAATTTTCTCTCCCATGTGGAAGCCCAGGGCTATAAATAGTTTAGGGCAGGTAGGTGCAACTCCATGATGTCAGAAATTCAGATTTCTTCCATTTTATTGCTTCTCTGTGCTGCACTTTCATTCCAAATCAGCTCATAGTCCAAGATAGGAGCCAGTGGAACGTGCAGAAATGAGCAAAATGTTGAGTGCCGCTTCCCTAGGAGGATATTTCTGCTCGAAACACACTGGCAAGAATGTAAATGAATAGATAGCTGGGAAATGTCTTTGTCCCGGGCAGCCAAGTGCCTGATTAATAATATGGGGTTCAATTACTATGGAAGAAGGAGAGAGTCAGCATTAGGAAGTGAGCAGGCTCTGACAAATTATAACAGTTTGTTCCTTCTCCTGGAAGCCTGTACAATTTTCTTTGTAGACTTTGAAGTCACAACTTTAATGATAGTGTATCTGAAGTTTTCTTTTCTCATCAGTGAGGCATATAACTTAGTAAGCCCTCTTAAGGAGTAGACATGTCTTTCTGTGGCTTAGTAATATTTCCTTTTAGTTAGTATTTACTTTTCTAAAGGAGAGAAAAAGGAAATTTTTTTCGTAAGTGATTGTTTTCATTTTTCTCTATTTTTTAGTTTATCTTATTTCCTATATTTCACTATAGAATTATATTTCTCTTTTTAAAACTTATAGTAAACACAGTACTTGTTCATGGTAAAATAAATTGTGTAAGTAAGAATTTTAAATAAAAATTTTATAAAAGAATACATTTTCACTATCTTCTTTTTTCCAGTCCTACTCATAGTTAATCGATGTTAAATTTTGTGTTTCTTTGTGTAATTCTAGCATAGTATATACATGCACACACATGTACACACACATACTTTTTATACAGATGCGAATATTTTCTTCTGTTCCTTTTTTCATTTAATAATATGCTTTGTATTTTAGTTCTTTTAATTACTACATTCAATTTAATTTTAAAATCAGTTAATTTATAACCACTTCCCTATCATTTGATACTTATATTGTTCTCAGTGTTGCACTATTACACATACATTTTCTGCATTCTTATGCAAGTGATAGTAAGGTAAACTTTAACCAGATAATTGCTAGGTCGAAGTGTGAATGTGCTTCCATTTTTTTGACAAAGTTTTCTTTCAGAAAGGAAGCTTCTACCAATTTATCCTTCCAGTCCTGACTATGAAACCTTAACAATATAAAGATATTATCAGTATTTGTGACTATTGAATCAAGAATTTATTTCGGTGAAGGGTGGGTTGGAGAGTCAGCTATTTTTTTATTATTATTATGGATACAATCAGTGGCCCCAACACCCTTGATTAAACAATGAATGGCTGGAGATAGATACAGACGTAGATAAGGCTGTTTCTGTATTCCTAATCAGTGTTTCTGGAAGTGTGGCTGTTAGATATCTATGGGGACCTTGTGATCTTTACAGGAAGCTTATGAAGACAATGCTATTTTTTTCACTGTTGTATTTGTGGTGATGGTGCAAAGCACTGGTGGATAAAACAGGCAGCACCTTAGCACAAAACAATGCTGTGGCACCGGATTATACTATCAGTCTGCATTCTTCGCTACTTTCTTCACTCACATGAACTCACAGTAAAAAACAAACAAAAGCAATGTCACTAAGAATATCTTCAATAAATCAGTACAAATGATCACATTTGAACATCTTCAAACGTGAGTGCTCTATTTTTAATACTCTGTGGGACAAGATAAAGAAGTTCTGTAAAGCATTGCCGCTAACTTCCTAAAGTGTAGAGTTTGTCTCAAGGTAAAGGACTTGTGTGATTGAGTTTTGTACTGAACTTGCCACTTTTTTTCATAGAACATAAAAGGGTGACTGTTCTACAAACTACGGTTATTCATACTTGGGTATTTGGCAAACAGTTTCTTAAAAATCAGTGAAGTGAACCTGCATTTCCAAAGAAAACGCCTTACCCATATTTGTTACTAATGATATAATTCAGTTTTAAGAGAAAAATTAGAATTTTGGAAAATCTTCCCACATAAGCATGATGGTTTCCCAGCACGTAAAGACTCTTCTGAAGAGATCGGCAGTGAGATTCATAGATTTGCTCTTCTTTTTGATATTATGTAATGAAATGTGTGAATATTTGGAAGATCTGCATAACATTTTTTTACTCAATTATATTTTGTTTTGGAAAACAGTTTTCTGACAAAACTGATTAAAAATGTTCTTTGTGTTAAGCTATCAATTTATTAATATAATTTTAAATGAATTGATAATACATAGTTTAACATTGCCTCAGTTTTAATTTCTAATACAATAATTATGAATAGATACAATCAATCTAAATAAACAAAAGTTATTTGGGGTCCCTTGTAATTTTTAAGAGTATAAAGGCATTTTAAAACCAGAAGGTTGATAACTGCCGGTTTGCATCGTAGTTTTTCCTCTCCCTGTTTTTCTCTCTTTTCTGTTTCTGCCTTTGTCTTCCTCTCTGTGTTTCTGTTATACACATTCACACACACACACTCTCTCTTGCTTTCTCTATCCCCTATTCCTGGATGATTTCTAATACTGTACCAGTATAGCCCAAATTAATCATTGTACCTTAATAACATTTTTAATATCTGAAAGGGTTAGGTCATTTCCAAAATTGTTTTTATCTTGAACTTCCTTTTTATTATCTGAAATATATATTATTCAAAACAATTTTGTATTATAGTGGGCACCTAGGTGGCTCAGTCGGTTAAGCAGCTGCCTTCAGCTCAGGTCATGATCCCAGGGTCCTGGGATCGAGCCCCATGCTGGGTTCCCTGCTCAGCGGGGAGTCTGTTTCTCCCTCTCCCTCTGCCTGCCACTCTGCCTGCCACTCTGCCTACTTGTGCTCTCTCCCTGTGAAATAAATAAATCTTAAAAAAAAAAAAATTTTGTACCATATAATTTTATATTATATTATGATAGTAAAAAAAACCCTTGGTATCTTAATTGGAATTGTGTTTTATTTATCTCAGATTATATCCTAGAAATAATGATTATCATAGAATTATCATCTGTCTATACAAGAACAGAAAATCAGAGCCCTTGTTACACATTGTCTTTTTATGAGCATTTTAGGAACCAGCTTATAAACGGCTTGAAGTCATGAGTCTTGCCATTTACTTTTGTGTGTATTCCATACACATAGAAGATGTTGAATAAATATTTGATATTTACTTTTGTGAATTACTCAGTTTTTATAAATCTCTAAGTAACATTTTCATTTCATTCACAATTAAGGACAGACATGATTATATTCATACCGATAGTTTAATGGTTGGAGAACTTTTAAAAGATTCTTTTAATGTCATTATATTATAAATTTTAATTAACATTATATGAAAGTAGCATAGATAATGGCAGTATTATAGGATTTCACCTTTGAAGACTTAGTCTTTGGTTGCGTTTTTCCATGTTTCTTCTTATATGTTTGACCAAGGATTTCTGTCAGCCATTTCTCAACCTAAAAATAAAAACAAAAATAAATATTCTATCCAGCAGGGACAAGGAGAGAAGTAAAACCAAATCCTCTTGACTTCCTACTTTGTATCACTTTACAGTACCATTATGTGGCTTTTGTTCAGGTTTTATAAACTAAGATACACAAATTGGAGTTGAATGCCAGTCTTTATTGCTAGCCAAAACTAAGTCTGTTGTACACAGCTGTGTTTAAGTGAATGTTACTGTTTATAATGAAATGTTTTAGTTATTCAAAGTGTTTTGGCAGTTAAATAGAAATGCTCTCTTTGGAAAAGTTTGCACATTTTTTGAAAATAATTATTGATATAAAGTGAATTCTAATTATCAAAACAGACAAGTCATTTGTAGACTTATTAGAGTAAAGCCATAAAATAAGAAAACACTTGTAACAGCCAGGTATATATGATTACACATAATCTCAATAAGCCATTAGACTAACCTGCTTAAATTATCCAAATCAAACAGGAAATTTAAAATAAAATAATGAAAACATGTCTGAAAAGACCTTATAAGAGTCTACCTGTACTAAATAAAGAGTACTTTAGGAGAGTTTGAAAAATATGAAAGAAAAATTCTCAACAAAAAGAGAAACTAATCCATATTTCCAACATATTACATATATTTAACTCTAATTCCCTTTATTTTGTCTTTATATTGCCCCCCTGCACTGATTAAGCTCTTCATGAATTATATACAATTGAATTAGAATTACATACACTATCCAATAATGACATTGCATTCAAATTTTTATAATTCAATTGTGCATATAAATTTAATTTTTTTTCTGATAACTTGCTAGGAATGGCATATAGCATCTCCAAAAGCAAACTCTTCAAATGAGTAATGGCTATTTGATTTTTCTTTGAGAAAACCAACCTAAAGTAACCATCTTTGTTGATGCTTGCTCAGATCAGGTGGACCAAAACAGCAGGAAGTGCCTCTGACAGATTCCAAGACTCAAGTGTCTTCAATGAGACTTTGAGGATTACAAACATTCAGCGACACCAAGGAGGCCGGTATTACTGTAAAGCAGAGAATGGCTTGGGGTCCCCAGCGATAAAGTCAATCAGAGTGGATGTGTACTGTAAGTAACTTTCCCAGAAAACTATGGTTAAGTCTCCTATGGCTTTCTGTCCTACAGCTTGAGGTCTGTTTTTTTGTCCATTGAGAAAAACTATGATTTGTTCCAAAACATAGCATTCTGTTTCACTAAGGATAAAAGGTATATAAGATAACTATAGCTCATGTACTATACTTACTGAAGAAAAGAGTCTCCATTAGGAATTTTCATAATTTTTATGAGAAAGTATTACATTTTCATCATAGAACATTAAAGAACCAGAGTAACAAAAAGACAATAAATATTACTGATAATCCCACCAATGATCTTTAGCGTTTGAATGTATATACTTCCTATCTTTATATAGAAGTATATAAATGCGTTTTTATAACTGCATAGGAAAATATTATGCGATACATACTGTAACTTGCTTTGTTAACTTTACCTCTGGGTGAATTCAGTTGTTCTTGTTTTTGTAAAGGAACACCATGTACGCGGTACTATTTGAATTGGCTTGTGAATGACCAAAATCTCTAGGTAGAGCCTGTTTTTGATCCACCTGTGTTGAAAGTAATCAGTACCTTGGGCAATGCTGTGCCACCCAGGAAGTGTTTGTTGATTTATTTTGATTCTTAGTCTCATTTTTCCACTTTTTGCTGTTAGCAAATATACTTAAAATTTTCTTGGTCTCCTTACCTTCTTCCCCACCAAAACAGATCAAGGACCTACATTCAGTTTGTTCTTTTGCATGGTTTAACCCATCATTCCACTATCTTTTTATGAGAACTTGCATTTTTTAAACTCTCTATCATTAGAATAAAAAGATTTTTTTTTTCTCTCCTCAAAGTAATTCAGACATAAGTAACAAGTGAGGAGTTCCTGTTTTTCTACCTATCTCTTATTGTGTCCCTTTCCTTTGTTTTGCAATGTGGGACAAGTGTTGCATAGTTAGGAAGGTGACTGGAATTAAACATGATCTATTTATTGCACTGTTTGTTGAATCTCATTCAGTTATTCAGGTGACTGGGAAGTGGGTGGCAGGGCTACATTTGTGGTTTATCTTGCACTCGGATGCTTGTTCCTTTCCTGGAAAGGATGAGAGAGAAGGCCTGTCCCAATCATTGTAGCATCTTCTAGCCCTTAGGCATCCCTTGGTATAACTCAGGCACATGCATCCCACGTGCTACTCTCAGGGCACACAGGTTGGCCTTACCCATACACTGCCTCACCACAGTATAGCCTCTGGCCCTTCTCCTGATCACATAGTTCCAGTTATGTATACTTAACAACAACAACAACATTAGTTTTGTTCATATATAATTTTTTAAAGTTTTTATTTAAATTCCAGTTAGTTAACATACAGTGTTATATTAGTTCCAGGTGTACGGCATAGTGATTCAACACTTCCATATAACACCCGGTGCTCATCACAAGTGCCCTCCTTAATCCCCATTGCCGATTTAATCCCCCCACCTGCCTCCCTTCTGGTAACTATCAGTCTGTTCTCTATAGTTGAGAGCCTGTTTCTTGGTTTGCCTCACTTTTTTCCCTTTGCTTATTTGTTTTGTTTCTTAAATTCCACATACGGTATTTGTCTTTCTCTGACTTATTTCGCTAGCATAATACTCTCTAGTTCCATCCATGTCATTGCAAATGGCAAGATTTCATTAAAAATTATATATGAACAGCCACCCTGGGAAACAGTATGGCTGTTCATATATAATTTTTAACTAAACTAAATTTAATTTAAATGAATTACACACTTCTATGATATAACTTTCTAGAAAACATACCTGTGCCTTTTTGGTGTTGTTATTATAGCTTTGGTCATGAAGTTTTAAAGATTTTTTTAATTAATTCATTTGAGAGAGAGCACACAAACAGTGGGGATCCCAGTCAGAGGGAGAGGGAGACGGAGACTCCCCACTGATTGTGCGACTCAATCCCAGGACCCCAGGATCATGATCTGAGCCGAAGGCAGATGCTTCACCGACTGAGCCACCCAGGCGCTCCTTGGTCATGAATTTTAATATTTAAAACGTTCTGAAAATTGAATGAGTGTATTTGCTACTTGCTTTGTTGGGTTTTATTGGTAAATTTTTTCAGCAAAACCTGATGTGAACTAGTTTGGTGGCAACATCTGATTTAAAATTACTCAAATAGAAAAATAGAAAAGGGGTACCTGGGTGGCTCAGCTGTTAAGCGTCTGCCTTCGGCTCAGGTCATGATCCCAGGGTCCTGGGATCGAGCCCCACATCAGGCTCCTGGGATCGAGCCCCACATCAGGCTCCCTGCTTGGCGGGAAGCCTGCTTCTCCCTCTCCCACTCCCCCTGCTTGTGTTCCCTCTCTCGCTGTGTCTCTTTGTGAAATAAATAAATAAAATCTTTAAAAAAAATAGAAAAGACTTTATGCTCTTTCTTTACCCTACTTTGTTTGAATAATCATATGTTTTGCTCAGGAAATAATGTATCTGATTATACAGTATTGTCACAGAGCCTGCTGAGTATGTTGTGTAACACATGGTATATCTACTGTATTACCTTTTGAAAATCGAAATATTCTGAAAAACATTCCCCAAAAGTTTTGAATAAGAGATTGTGATTTTCACTGCCACCACAAGAGGTTTGATAATAATTTATATATATAATTATAATAATTAAACATATTACTGGGTTAAAAATCAAATACAAAAGAGGAAATTATATTTTTTAAGGACTTAAAACAATACTTTTTTTCTCCTCTTACTACAAAGCCATTTCAGTACTATTCTGCATTATACCCACCCTTTTCTATCTGTTCATGTCTCTTGCTGTCCAGACTCAGTTGTGCCTCACTGTTTTAGTTTACAGTGCACACTTTGGTAGAAATGTTAGCACAGCTCCCCTCAGTGCTCCAAAGCCCTGTTAGTCTTTTAAGACTCAGGTCACCTTCCAAGCAGCCAGGACCCAGATCTCCTTCCACATTTCACACAATTCTATGCCTAACCACCTCCTTTTCCCTGCCAGCTTCCCAGTCAATCCCTACAGAAGACTAGAATTTTTTTTTTTTAATATGAGATGTTGAACTGGAAAGACTTTGAAATAAGAAACTTGGAATCATCAAAAACGAGAAGCAACATACTGTAGTTAAATCAGGGTTATTAAGTCAAAGTTTACATATTCAACATGGTCCCTTCTCACATTTGGTTCTGAAAATGCCTTCCTGGCAGAATACTGGAGAATTCCTGTCCAGGAAAACCGATAAACTCTGGAGGAAAGGCTGTGGATCCTGACAAGTATGGGACTTGGTGACAATAGTCCAGCTAATACACTTACAAATGAAGCCTACTACTGATCAACAAAACTACCAATATGCTCTTTCATAATTGACTCTTTAACAGGAATATACCATATACCCCCAAATTTGAGACAATCTTCTAACAAAAAAGAAATAAACCAAGAAAAAGAAATAGGAAAAAGAATTCAGGAAACAAGGATAATTCAGGGGGCCAAAATACAAAATAAAATACAATTCATTGATTATTTTAATTGGTATTCTCAGAAAAAAAAGAAAATATTGCATGTATGTAACAAGAACAGGAAAACTAAAAACAAAGAATTTTTAGAAAAAAATCAGAACTCTTGGAATATTAAAAATGATAGCATAAAAATCAACAGAAGTTATGAAAGATAACTTTGAAATCTTACAGAGAGTAAAACAAAATTTAATAATCAAATGGATAGAACAAGAAAGAGAAGATAAGAAAATGAAAGAATTAGTCCAGCTGATCTAACATTTGAATAAAAATTCCAAACAGAGAAAATAGAGGTGAAGAAATTATTTTTTAAAAAATTAAGAAAATTTGCCATCATAGTTGGACATGTGTTTTCAATTACTATGTGTCTAGTACAATGCAATAAACAAGATCCACACCAAAACACATCAATATGCAATTCAGAACACTAGGAGAAAAGTGATCTTAAAAATTTCCAAGGAGTTTTTTTTTTCCAAAATGGTCACATGTAATGAATTAGGAATTAATATGGCACAGGTCTTCTCAATAGGAATCAGGAAACTAGAATACAACTGAGTAAAGCTTTTGAAATTTGGAAGGAAAGTTATTTCCAAACTAGAATTTTTCACACAGCCAGTCATTGTGTTTTTCTTTTTTTCAAATATCAAAGAAGATCCTTTTTAGAAGAAGACATTTTTAGACCTATAAAATTTCCAATTTTTTTTCGCCTTGTTCCCTCTCTCAGGACACTACTTTTATATGTTGAACCAAAACTAGAAATTAAATCAAAAAAGAGGAAGAGATGTAATAATAACAACAATAAAAAAGGAGATTTGTATAGGAGAATATAGAAGGGAATCCCAGGATGATGATGAAGCAAGACACCGTGATGATAGCTGTGCATTGTGTCTCAAGGACAACCAAGACTGACTGAAACTGAAGAGGCTCCGTGAAGGATGTTTTCATGAAGCAGATGCAGCTGGTGGGTTGCCTGGTTTTAGAGAAGAACTTTATGCTTTTCATGGAAAGCTTAATAATGTGGTGATGATAGATGCATACACAATTGAGAAAACAAAATACAGACGTTATTAACACAAGACAAATTATGAAATGAAATGTAATTGGAATATATTACAAGGTTCAACTGTAAAGAATACTTGCATCGTCATCAACAGCAACAGCACTTAACCAAAAGTATGATATAAGGAAGATGGGAGAGAGTTAGTATAGAAGGGTTAGTATAGTTTGTAAAGGCTTATCTTGAACAGGAAAAAATCAATAAGACAATATGAAAATGAAAAGAAAAACAGTCTATAAGTTGCCATTAAACATTTAGGAATGTGAAGGCAAAACCAAGACCGGTTAAGAACTGAATTAGAAAAGGTTGCCTCTGGGTATTAGAAATACTTGAGGTTGTGTTTTATTTGGTTTTCTAAACTGTGTGCATGTATAATTTATTTTTTTAATTCATAAAATATAGATTTGAAGATTTTGCCTTGAGGTCCTTGTTAATAAGCCCTTATAAGTCAA